TAATTATGTATGTGGGAAAAGGGGGTGGGGCACAATTTTTTTGCAAAGCTCTGACCTGAAGTTTTAAACTTGCTAGTAAGTGTCTTGACTCCAGCAAAGTATTTTAAATTAAACTAGGAAACTTTACTTGCTGAACTAGATTCTTATTCCACGAACTGGAAAGGGTAGAAGAGAGCTTACTTCATGTTTGTTTCTCTGGAAACTCTTTTCTGCTAACACAATAGGGGGAGAGAGTAACATTTTTTTCAAAAGAAATTTTAGAGTGAGTGGAGGATTGCAAACACCTTCTAAAATCCTGGAATTTTTAAAAATGTCATACCTTTCTTATTTTGTTTGATATAATTTGACTGGCAAAGACTCCATTCTAGTGTTATGAGTATGCCATACAATCAAGTAATCACAGTTCATTAATACTAACTAGTAGTAGCTTAGGAGATGGTGGCTGCTGTCCTAGGCACCTGTTAGCTTTAATTGCAGCATTTAATAAACTTTAATTATTTCTAGAATTCATGTATTTTCCCTTCTCAAATAAGAAGAAAATTGAAGAGGATAGGTTTAGTTATTGAACTCTGAAATGACTCTCTTCCTTTGAGAGAGAAGTTTAAGATGGAAGCTAAACTTTTCTGTGTTGTTATAATAAGTCCATAATAAGCTGGCCAATAAGCTTTTTATTAGGCATCTAGGAGATGTATACTGTAGATTAGGGGTGTCAAACCTTTGGCCATGCTGTCTGGCCCTCATGGCTTGTAGAGGGGCTGGGAATTCAGGGGTAAGATCATGGCCAAACTCTGGGATACACAGCCCTGCTGGAGATGCATGTGAGGACTGTGATAACTCCCACGGCTAGCATCGTGTCTGAATACATCCTGCTATGAGTCCTGCAGCTCAGATCTGGGCTATGAAGCAGGTGAGCTTGACACCTGCTGTAGATCCTTTTTATGGGAAGAAATATATTTTTATACAAGAAAATTAAAGGGAACTTGTTTAGCTAGTGGACTAGATCCGGAGTTCCAGTTTTGGATCAAGTTCAGAGCATGACAACTGCTGGAGGTACTAGTCCTTAAATGGGGTGTTTAAAGCAACATTACATCTGGCTGTCATTGGTGGAAGTTTAAAGATGAGGACATATTTGGGCGGGGGTAGGGGGAGTGTGTGTGGTGGGGAGAATTACTTTGCAGCATGGGGATTTCCTGGGGTCAGGGAAACCTACACCAAAATAAAGCGGGGTGGTACATGCGGCAACAGCACGCACTACTCAAAACCAGAGCGTAGCTGGCCAAAGCCACACTCCAGCTGCTGGCCAGGTTTCCTGCCTCAGCTGTAGCCCTGGAAACCCCCAAAACCCCAGGGAAGGCTGCTGGGACCAGCACAGTTGCTGGGCCTAGCCTTCTCTACCCCTGCTGGGGTAACCTGCTGTGTGCCAGAGCATGCATGGCATGGGCATTTCCTGGGGATAAGTAGCAGCGGCACAAGGTGCGCCGCTGCTACTCGTTTCTGTGGAAGCAAACGTCTGTGCTTGTCTGTTTGCACCCAATGCATTGCTAAAACATCCAGCTTCATTAAAACAGTCTAAGTCAGCAGAGAAGTCATTAGTGTACGTGGCCAAAACTGTGTGCTCTGGAAGAACGACCATAAAGTTGAGAGCCAGGACATGAAATGCTGGCTCTACTTTTGGCTTGTGATGTAGCTCAAGTCAGCTTCTTTGGCTAACTTTTGACTGTTTCTTCATCTGCAAAAAAAGGATGTTAATATTACCCAATTAGTTCACAGTGCTGTTGCAAATATTAGGCCTTTCCTACACTCCCAAGTAGCTCTTTTTCTGCAATCTATAAATGGATTGGTGCTCATCCCTAAGTATAGACACAGAAAAAATGAAGTTAGCATATTGCTTTATTGGCGCAGCCAACAGCCTGCAGGGCCTATAATGCTAGTGATAATTGTTGTTGTTATTAATGTTGTTTTGTCTTTTTTTTATTACTATGTTGGGGCTAATTCTTGGTATAGACAAAGCCTTCATTTCTATGCAGTGCTTTGAATAGGTCAAACACTATATAAAGTGTTCAATTATGGACCTAAGAGGTCACCTTTACTTCACAACATTGTTCACCATCAGTTTTTATGAAAAGTTCATTGGGAAAACAGCACTAAGATTATTGTTTAAAAAACTGATACTTATGACAACCGAATAACTCTAGAGGAGAAAGCACTGCTGAAATGTTTAAAGTCCAAACATTTCTTATATAAGTAAGTCTAAAAAAGGATATTTTTTTCTCCCTATGTATGTGTGTGTTTTAAGGACTCATTGATCTTTTCTATTTGTATAATCTAGGGAGGCTCTTTGTATAGTTCTAGGGAGTCTAAATAAGCTGATATCAAGAAGAGTTCTGATAGATGGTTTAGTAACTTTGAAAAATGAGCTATATGCTTTTTGTCATTTCCATTATTTGAACTAAAAAAATAGGTCTCTTGACAACATATTTTTTAAATATTTTGTCTAATTGCTCAAGGGTGGCAGAGAGAATATCTGACTTTTTAATTTCTGGTGTTCTAGTCCCCAACATCAATATGTATATTTGAAAGCGATGAGGGAAGTGACAAAGCCCCACTACTCTTCCAAAACAAACAGCTTCACTGCACACACACCTCTCTGTGGGAAGAGGGTGAGAAAATAGGCATCATGTGATAGGCATTAGTTTTATCACTTAAAATGCAACTGGAAGGTGCTCAAATACTCTCTATATGCAATTGGCAATAAGCCCATAATAAAAACTTAGGAAGACTTTTGTTCATAGTTTTGAATACCAGCCTAATGACCTCTAGGTGTGCACTAATGTCCTGGTTTCACATTGTCACTTGGTAACCTTAAAAAAAACACCAAACAAAAGCTTTTAAGGCAAAATAAAAAAAGATGGATTTAAGTGGGATCCTGTAACTTAAAAATTGAAAACACATTATTACCTGTTACTTGTAAAATGATTAAAACTTAATTCACTTTCAATATCCCATTTACTTATCACTATTCTTGTTCCTTTTAGCATTTCTTTCCAATCAGCCAATAAACTACAATGAAATTAGTAGTTTATGTGGCCACCTTCACTGTCAAATTCTCAGAGCTGCACTGGATGTTTAAGAATACTTGTTCTTCAATAATGAGTCTATCTGGATCCAGTTGCTGGTTGGTGTGCAACTGCAGAATCTTTTAGTCATCTCTCAGGCTGTGTGTGCCCCACATGCCCTCTTGCCTATTGTGAAGGTATAAAGTGTGGAATAGTCCCATTTTCCTCCTAATTCTCTAGTAATGAGTCAGATCCTCAGTGTTAATTTGTTGTAGTTACTGGTTAGGGTAGCTGTCAGCTTTGGGTGTTAGCTTGCTAGCTACCACAAACTTGTTTTGCATTGGTGCCAAGACCTGGGTCCAATGGTCCAATTAAAATCTCCAGGCTTTACAACCTGTCCTGTTTACAAGACGGCTATGCCTGCTAGTGAGGCATGTCCTAAGTGTTTGTTTTGCTGAGAGGCTCCCATATCCCCTCTCACTGTTTTATCATTTATTCCTTTTTGAAGCACTCGGGGATTGTGATAACTATTAAAACTGTTCAGTGCTGCTCTGATGAATTTGACTCAGGTTATTCCTTTGTAGTAATTTCCTTCTTTGAAGCTGGTTTCCTCAAGTGCTCTGGCAACAAGAAAGAGTCCATTTGCTGGGAGAGAAGATCTGCTGGCTCCCAGAGACTCATGCTCTAAGGTGAGCACTGAGTCCTGTTGTCCAACCCACTTCTGGATAGTTAGTGCAGGAGTGGGTAATTATTTTGGCCAAAGGGCCACTTAGGAAGTTTTAGTAAGCTGTTGTGGGCTGGCCCACCCCCTCTCCCCACAACAGCTCACTAAAACTCCCAAAGCGGCTCTGCCCCAAGCTCGGCTGGGCAGGTACGATGGGCCTGTAGCTGTGAGTGGGCAGGGAGTGGCATCCAGGACTGGGATGGGTAGGTGGGGCCAGGATGGGGATTGCTCAGCCATGAAAGTGTGGGGCTGAGGCAGAGCCATGGTCCGTTCCTTCATGCCCCTGCAATGGGTGCTGCCAGTTCCATGGGCAGGGGTATGCAGGGAGTGGATTGCGGCTCTGCCTCAGGCGCCAGCCCTGTTGCTGTCACTGCCTGATGATTCCAGGTTCTCCATGAAAACTGGCCAGGACCCGCATAGGCGGGGGGGTGTGGTTGGGTATATGGGATGGGGGTGAGGGCAGGTGAGGAGCAGCATCCAGGCATGGGGTGGGCTGGGATTCTGAGATGGTGACAGTGTGGGGCTGGGGCTTGGGGCAGACCTGTGATCTGCTCCTGGCATACCCCTGTGCTGCAGCTGGGGCTGCCACCTCCCCTCCCCTCCCCTCCCCTCTGGGGCTGAGAGACTCCCATGGGCTGAACAAAATCCCTTGGCGGTCGGATTTAGCTGGTGGATGCATTTCGCCTACCCTTGAGTTAGTGGCTACTGCTGCCAAAGTTAGAGGCCGCTCCAGCCAGTAGTGATCACTTATTCTGGTATTGTTACTCCCTGCCCCTTGCACTGTCACGTGTCTGATAGCGGGACTGCTGTCAGTACTGACACTGCCAGTGGCACCCAAGGTAAAGGACATGAAGCTGTTTCTCCGTCTAGTCACTGGCACAAGGGCGATGTCTCGCGCACGGGGCTCGGCCTGGTTCTGTACCTCAGGGTTTCTATTCGCTCTGCTCCTCAGCTGCTCTTTCTCCTCGGGGCAGCCTCCGCTTTGCGGACCGTCCTCTTCTTCCATGCAAAGAAAAGGCCCTTTCCGGAGAACCAGTCTTCCCTGCGCGGCCCTAGCTTTGCCCTTGGCTGCTCGGTCTCGCCTCACAGAGCGACTCGCACCGTGGTATCCGGGCCACCCGATCCTGGTCCCGGGCGCCCCGCCCGGCGCTCGGCGTTGCCATGGTGGCGGCGGGGGCCGCCGGAGCCGGTAACTGCCCTTTGTTGCCGCTCCCCGCTGCTCGCCGGGACCTGTAGTCTGCAGCGGGCGCGGGCGGCGGCGGGGCGCGGGCACCGGACTACGCGGGCCAGGGTGCTCCGGGCACGGGGCCGGAATGCGCAGGCGCCGCC